GATATTAAGGGCACAGTACTTGACCTAAACCGGGTCACTCTAAGTATTCCAAAAAAATGGAAAGAAGTCATTCAAAAAGCTGGACACCCAAGCATAAAAAATGTATCGATATGTTCCCCTTGGAATGATCTTATTAAACCTAATAAAAGATCTAGGTCATTTTACGATTGTCTCATATCTAAATCCAATTTTCCAAACGTATGCGATAAATGGGAAAGTGAATTAAACAATCATATCGATTGGAAGACCATATTTTTGCAATATACCGGTAAACAAACCATTAAAGACACAAAGCTTTTGGATTTTCAATACATATTTATACATTGAGTTATTTATACAAAACGAGAGTTGTTTAAAATGAAACTAGTTGATAATGACATATGTACATCATGTGGCGTAAGTGAGAATATTTATCATGTATATATTGAATGTCCAACCATTAGAATATTCTGGAAAGAATTCACCAATTTTGTTAATTGTGTCCTGCACAGAACATTCGTCTCTCAGCTCAAGATATTCTATTTTGTGCTAATAGCGACCCTTTGCTCAACCACATGATCATATTAGCCAAACGCCACATTTTTGTCATGAGTGTCAAGGGTGTGAAACCAAGCTTCACCACATAGAAAGGGTTACTAAAAGACGTATATGACATTGAGAAATATATTGCTAGAAACAATTTCAATATGAATTTATTTGAGAGAAAATGGATTATACTCCAAAATGTTCTGTGAATGTGACAATGAAACTAAGCTTGTACCCAAGTGTATCTGCCATTGCTCCAGTTTTACATGCTCTTTTTCCCCCAGTGGAACTTGAAACAGAGTGACATGCCACCCATTATATTATTTCATTACAAAACTATGTCCACAGAATGTTTCATACAAAGTGTATCCAAGTGAAGTGAATAAAAAAAAATGTGAAAAAAAAACAAAACCAAAAAATTCACTAACTGAAAAGTCATGACTGAATATTTCTTGAAGACCCCAGAAGGTTTATGTTCATGATATATCAACTTTAAAGTAAAAAGGTGTATCATGTTATAAATATCTGCAATACCAGCCTGAATAGGAAAATCTGAAAATTGACGCTAACCAATTTTTAACGATGATTGTTCGTGGTAATGAAGCAATCATCAATTATGAGATTTCAACCAATTCCCAACACTATATTGTACTGTGAAGCATTTCAGGGTGTCATCTCAAAAACAACATTTTTAAAATCATTAATTCTCGCAAAGACACGAGGGCCTGTGACTGGCTGGTGTTTCACTAAATGACACTATTAGTCTCTGATTCTAATTTCATACTAATTCGCATAATTCTATATTATAAAGTTGATAGTCCCAACGAAACACGATTTCACATTATCCAAGAGTGTTAATGCTTTTGTAATGCAAGTTTGGGGCTAGCAGTGATTATGCTTTGGGCCGTACAGAGACATTTGGGGTTTTTTCAAAGGGAAGCCACTAAATACTAAAGCCATGAGGACGTATGTAACAATTTTCACAAACGTCACTTTCCTCCGAGCCAATGAAATATTCGTGTTATGGGCTGTACTACATTACGCAATCTATTTTAAAATTTCAGCAAAGTGTCAACTTTAACTTGGCAGGAAACTGCAACCAATAACATTAAAACAACATCATACGTTCTTATATGTACAATGTATTATTGTAGAATAGGACCATAGATCTATATGTACAATTATGTATTACTAAATTCTAAGCCCAGGTTAACTCATAATCAAACTTCATTAGGAAGAATAATGATAACAAAGTCATGATAATCATCACAATTGAACAATAAAGGAAAAAAATACATTTATTTTCAACCGATTAGGTGAATGAGATTTTTGTAGAATGATTTAAATATATATTCGGGTCAACAAACAAAAGGAATGTTATGTCGTCTGCTACAAGGTAATTGAAATGTTCAGTATACGACGCAAATATGGGTTTACGTAAAAAATCATAAAAAATAAAATACTGATCGTAGCCATATAAAATTAGTACCAAGCAAAAGAGGAAATCGCCGTGAATGTTGACATATTTATTCTAAAAATGCTAGTAGTAAACATTTCTTGTGAAAGCGTGCGAAAATCAAGTGTTGTGGAGTAAATATTTCGGAAAACATCATATTTCGTCGCATTGCAGGAGTCAAAATAAGGAATTACGCGACCGCCACAGACTTATAAATGCCACTTAACCAATCTTTATCTTATCTGCTTTTATTACACCCCGGTAACTGAGGATTTGTATTGAGAATTAGTAGCCGTTATTGAAAATCAAAATCGGGACTTTCCCCGATTTTACACCTCCGCCATTGTTCTCACAGAACAACGAGCACACATGACAGTATTCATCAAATACAAAGACAAATATATGCTTTAGCACTGTTGCTAATGAGTAAACATGAAATAAGATGCACTGTTGAAAATATAAGTATACACATGAGAATAGGCTGCGCAAAAAATTAGCATCTTACCTTTGCAATGAAAATACTGCGAAATCGATGACTAAAGTATAATTACACGTTTTCGCCAGCTGAAGAAACTACTAACCGGATAGGCTGCGAATAAGTACAAGCCGTATCCGCGCTGATGGTTTTGCGCATTCTACTCGAGGGCCGTCCATGTAATATAAATATTATCAGTGGTTTGGCTGCATATATGTTTCTGGTGTCCGGCTCCAACTTAACCTCCTTGATGCCACAGGGACATATATGTTCTTCTCCTTCAACCCTCAATTTCAAGTCCAATAGAAATCAATATATCCCACGCACACAAATACACTTCACAGTTTCGAATTCAGCGGGAAATTTCCTGTTTCTTGATACCATCCACGATTATTTTAGACAAACAATTCGTAGCACAGTGCTTTTATGGGTGCGCGATATAAAGCGGAGAATTTTACTGTTTTTTAACGCATAACAAAATGTGGACAACATTTAGCAAGATCTATTTCTCAAACCGCAGAGGTAGTTGCACTTATATTTATACCAACGGATAGGAAATTTAATATTCTACATTTCTGTGTAATTTTATAGCCATACGTAGATCCAGGACCACGCGATCGCAAATCTCGCGTAACGTTAACTTTTCAAACTGTATGAAAATGTGCGCCTGAAAAATAACTCGGCATCCAGGGGGTTAAGCTCCATACCATAGCAAAATCGCGTCAAGCTCCATATCTTGGCTTCCTTGGACAAAGCACTGAGGTGTTAAAGAATGGGAGTTAAGGTTAACCTTAGTAAAGGTTTCGTGAAAGGAGCCCCAGGATTATATGGCGTCAAGCTCTATACCAGGAAGTGAAAATCGATTCACCCTCATCCTGGTTCTTGGAGCTTGTTCCGGATCAGAAAGCGCCATGTTTATCATCTCCCGGGAGAAGCCAGACACTTAACATCAGTCTAACAGTGGATGTATCTCCTGTCTCTTCCTGGGGCGGTGGGGTAGCCTAGTGGTTAAAGCCTTACGCTGAAGCCCCAGGTTCGATACACCAAATGGGCCATTTCCGGTGTTCCCCGTCGTGATATTGCTGGAATATTGCTAAAAGCCAAACTCACTCACTCATCCCTCTTCCCCCGTAGAAGGCACAGTCTGTTCCATCAGCTGGTAAGGTGTTGACCGTTTTCTTGCACTCCTTAGGACTCCTACCGAACTATCCCCCGCAAGATCTGACCATTAAAGGTCAAGGTTATTTCAATCTTGGGCAACTGCATCAAGGTTATACGTCATAGAAAACTCACAAGATTGGTGTTGTTCCACAGGGACAATTCACATTGTCCGTTGTTTTCAGAGAGAATAAAATTAAACATATTTACTTCTATATTTGTATGCCAAAATGGATGAACTTCCAGAGTCTTCATTGTATTGCATTTACATCAAATTTATTATATAAAATATCTTTGAATAATTCAACTGGGTGGCATAAACGATACACTGGGCACAGATGTTTTGGTGAGTGTTTGTGCCCTCCGCACAGAGAGTAGTAGGACTGTAGACGCTTCGTGCACCAATGTGCATCTACGTACGTCCTAACTGTGCATCCATAGTATGTGCATATTAGTGTTGGGAATTGGTTGAAATCTCACAATTGATGATTGCTTCATTACCAACGAGAAAGCATCGAAAAAAATTGGTTAGCGTCATTTCTCAGATTTTTCTATTCAGGTTGTTGTTGTAGATAAGTTTATCATCCAAAACTGTGTTCCACAGTAGATATCGCTTGTGTGAGATCAGACGATATCTCCTAGGAAATATCGTTTTGACAGTAGATTTTGTACAATGCCCTGACAATTTTATGACATCGCTGCACTGCAAATCTAATGGCAGTACTGAGTTAAGAGATGTACAGTTTTCATTGAAAACTAATGAAGAGTGATTTTTGATGATAAATAGAATCTCACCCTCGTGTCTTCTGATATCAAATATATCAACACTCGTTGATGAAAGTAAAAATATCCTCGGCAAGCCTCGGATATTTGTTACTTTATCAACTCGTGCATCATGTTCTCTATATAACATGATGCAACTTGCTACTTTAAAGTGATGACTAATATATCATGAACATAAAGTTCCCAGAGTCTTCAACAAATATTAAGTCGTGACTTTTCAGTTAGTGAAGTAAGTTTTCTAAGAATTAAACACATTTTCAGGCCCTGACAACCTCGAATATATGTTCCATCGACAAGAGTTTCAAACACTAAAACAGTTGTTCCAAAATCGTTTGTGTTCGATTATGAGAACATGTGATCGATTACTTGGTCGTTTGTCTCACTGCGACCAATCTTCGATTATTTCAATTAATCGGAACACCACTAGTGCATATACAAAGTGAATTTGGGATAAAAATCGAATTGAAAATGAAATAACGTGGATATTTCAGTATGTTTATGTAACTACCGATATCGTAGAACGACTTCATGTGACGTACATGTCGGCGGGGTCTATTCAACCAATCGTTACATCCTTATATGAACCCTCCGTGTTCTACTCACGTGGGGAGGGCTCAGAACTGTTCTGCTGAACCAATACAGCAACCAGACCACTGCTGCCAGCACGCCCACGAAGGACCAAAACTTCATCCCCATTATCTTCCTGTAAAGCGTACTGGTCAAGCCTCCCATCGAGGACGTATTGCGTTCAATGTCCATCATATCTTACTGGTGGCAGAATCCGCAAACTCCTTGAATACACGTGTTAGTTTTTTTCCACGTTACGCCGACCGGGAACAGAACAATATTCTTCTAACAGATCGCGTTCTTTCCGCCTAATGATGCCGTTGACGAAGACGTTCAGACGCTGTGAGTGTTTTGCCAGTGTGTCTTCCCCTCATTGGTTAGTATTTTACGTGGATGAGTATACACTTGTGTTTTACCCCTGGCCTTTTACGGCGTCCTACTTACATGCACACCGGTGGCTTATTTAGATGGCCAGGTGATACTGACAGTACGCCGGAAGACAAAGCCATATTCCAACTGGTTCGCGAACTGCGTGTGTCTCTGTCATTCAGCAGATATCAGTAATACCAGGGATAATCTAGAACAGATCGGCGATATGTCATATTTTTCACACACCTCAAATACACCCTAACAATTTTTTTTAAAGTCATAAAATTATCACCATTACTTGCAAACACCTTTCAACTAAAGGTGTATTTCCGTTCTAAAAAATAAACGAATATGTGAAAGAAGTTTTTAGCGGTAGAATTTAGTCTTTCTTCGCTGTGTACCCATTCTCTTCCCACAGAGGTTACTCCTGTCATATCTTCCTACGTAACCTCTGTTCTAATACGGCCCTTTCATGGTGTGAACGTTCAAGACTCGTGATTGGAGGCAATCAGATTTAGTTGTGCAATCAGCGACGTTGTTTCAAAAGTGATCATTCGCAAGGCCTCGGTAATTTCCGTATACTTCGAGAAAACTAAACCTCTACCCCTGCGCGATGCGCAAACGTTTCTTCTAGACAGAACTCAGTCATGTTTTGGCGGATCAGTGGCGTTTCCATCGCCCTCGTTGACAACGGACAAGCTAGCCATTAAACGTCTTGTGTGTAACATCAACACAAGTCCCCGGCAGATGGGGGATATTTGTGGCCTCACATTTGCTTGTGTTAGTCAAGTTGAATCTAAGTCGATGTAACACGTTTTCTGATTGGATAGAAAGAAGGGAGATAATTCGTGTTGGGATCTTTTGCCGCTAGGGGATTTTACGAGAACCGTGAAATATGGCCGTATTAGAACAGAGGTTCGTAGGAAGATATGACAAGTAACCTCTGTGGGAAGAGAATGCTGTGTACCGAGAATTGAAGCCATGCAGTGAGCTATAACATGCCGACTTGAAACTTTACTACAAATCTACTGTACTAATACTGACACTAATAACAATTATTTGACTTAAAATGAAGTGACAGAATTGGTAACTTATCTTCTACATATAGGTTCTCAGTTGTCACAACACTCAGCGAATGTAATCAGCTGTTGAAAATACACCGGGCTCAATCTTAAAAACTAAGCTGCCGCCATATTGGCTACACTGGTCACGTGACGAGCCGGGGCATACGCTTAGGGTCTTTTCGAGGAGTGACCACTCCCCGTTATATTGTCTCCCTGTTAATACGAACAGTGTACCATGTAAGTAGTGTAGCAGCCATAAAATTTCCGAGGCCCGTCCTGGGATCCGAACCACGGGCCTTCTAATCCGAAGTCGAGCGCCTTGTCCACTTGACCAAAGAGCTTACGCCGTCAGCAAGCTGACAAGGTAAGGGTGTCATCTGCGGGGTGACTCCACGCCCTGCTACATGTAATAAAGAAATCTGGTCCAAAATGTAATGCAACTCAATTCACACGACTAGGGGCGGTGGGGTAGTCTAGTGGTTAAAGCGTTGGCTCGTCACGCCGAAGACCCGGGTTCGAATCTCCACATGGGTACAATGTGTGAAGCCCATTTCTGGTGTCCCCCGCCGTGATATTGCTGGAATATTGCTAAAAGCGGCGTAAAACCAAAACTCAGTCAGTCAGTCACACGACTATGGAAAAATAGTTAAGTTTTACGAGTTAGATGACAAAACGGAAGGAAAATCTACATTGTTGGGTTAATTAACACATCAGTTGTAACAACTACATCAGATTGCTTGTGTATATTTGCGTCGGGGCAAAACAAGCCCATCCTCATTAATCTAGGGTATATAATTTCCAGTCTGACGATAAATCCACCAGACCTATATTCTCTACCACTAGTTTTACACACATACACACACGGGATTCAGAAGACTGTTATTTTGGAAAAGACACCATGTCATCAGAACACCAGATACAGTTTGAAGCGGACATATGGGTCAGTGTATTTATCCGTACGCAAGATGTATGCGAAAAAGCTGTGGCCACCATACAAAAGCCAAGACTAAATATGCTTGACAAACCGATAAAAGTATCTGAAGCAGACATAAAATACACCCAAACATGATTAACATAATTATTATTATGTTACATTTGAGATTACACTTTCTTATCAAAGTGCAGATTCTAGTACTTTTGTTGGGTTGAGTCCCATCTGGGATTCGAAAACACACCCTCAGAGCCAGCTGCAGGCGTCAGCCGCCGAACCCGCTCAGCCACCGCGACTTCCACTGACATTGTGTGCTGGCAGTTAGGTGCCGGACTCTGAGGGTGTGGGTTCGAATCCCATATGTTACTCAACCCAACAAAAGTACTATAATCTGTACTTTACTAAGAAAGTGTAATTCCAAATATAACATATGTTACATTTGACCACATTCTAAATGGCATTGTCTAATTATACCCAAATATGATGTAGATCTACATACTCCTTTAAAAATTGGAAAGAGTTGTTTATTTGAAATCTTGCTGTAAAGTTTCGCTGTTAACACACTTTTGTTATTGTCACAATAAAATCACTTTGGGTAAAACATTGAAAGACATTGTGATACATGAAGAGAGAGTTAACACGACCAGAACATCTGAGGTTGAAAAAAGAGCCATGCAGATATCGACCCGAACACTTGCCTGACATGCAACACTGGTGGTTTGCGCCGAGTAAATGTTTTACTGTGCAAGTTACTTCCCTTGGTGTGTACTGCGACCACAAGTGCGGCTAGCATCCAAGAGACAAGTGGTGATGGACGGGTACAGCAACAGTTTCTAGAGGTGATGTATCTATTTATATATTAACGTCATCAGTCAGGGACAGTGAGTCAGGGTTAGTGTCGAGGTATCTTGAAGTATGTAGGCGGGCTGTAGAAACACGTCGATCAGCTGATCTCGATTATTGACACCGACTTGTAGGAATATTTAGGTCTATAGATACGGTTGAGAAGAGGTCTCCTCTGTTTATCATGGGCTTAGATAATTCGCAGTCATTCGATTACAGATGATTACTAACGTTTATATCTGAACCGATGTCTATTTATGTCTATGTGTATGAACAATATATGCAATCTGTCAATTACAAAATCGATCCCGTTTCACGAGAAACGGATTCACGTACGTCACAGATTGCGATTAAATTTTTCTCTAAACGAGTATTTTCACTCTTGACAATTTCAGATTTTCCTTTTTCAAAGATATAACTATCTGATCACTTGACTAACTTCCTTAACTTCCAGCGGTGGTTTGTTAGCATAGTGGTTAAAGCAGTGTTCATTCTTCACATGTGTAAAATGTGTAAAGGCAATGTCATGGCAAGAGTTCCACCCGTAAACGCTGATTGAAATGTATTCTATTTATTAGGATTATTTAGAGGGGTTAGGGTAGGATTAGTTCATAGGCTTAGCCTTTTTTTTTTTTTTTTAAACAAACAAAAAACAAAATATATTCTTAGGCATAGAATGATAATCTAAAAACCCGGGACCGCCTCTGTGGTGTAGTGGTTAGAGCATCCGCCCGGAGAGCGGAAGGTCGCGGGTTCAATCCCCGACCGCGTCATACAGAAAGACATTAAAATATGGTACTTGTTGGTCCCTGCCTGGCGCTCGGCATTAATGGGTACAACAAGGACTGGTCGGCTCAGAGTCAGTATAATGTGTCTGAGTGGGGTATTCATGCTTCACTGCGGCATGGTACCTCAGTGGGCTAGTACTATAAAACCAGCTTAAGTCTGGGCTAGTACAAGCAGCCGCACATACACATACACACGCATGCACGTCGTCATATGAGCGAAATATTTTCAAGCACCGCGTAACACCCAATTTCACCTCACCTCACCTAATATAGAAACCCGGGGTTACGGGCAGAAATCCTTCTGATTTCTGGTGTCTCCTGCAAAGATACAGCAGGAATATTAATTTATACCAGAAATATAAAACTATGCTCACGCACAGTGTTACTCACAACACTGTTATTACATATGAAAACAAATCTATAGAACCATATATTGCTGTTAGAATTAATTTGATTTACCATGTTTGATAAACTTGACAAATCATCCACCACTAAAGCCTATTTTACGCCCCAACCATCCACTGCCCCACCCCCAACCTACCCCAAACCACCCCTGGTGAGGTGGATCTGGAATTTTATCAGGGTCTGGTTTCATAAAACAGAATTCCATGTAAGCAATACTACACAGTGTATTTGCATAAAATATATGTTCTGAATGCATTACCGTAGCCAGGGGCATAGCTACCATTATAATATAAAACAAAGCCCAGGCTTACACATGAATGCTGGTAAAAAGGTTGGGCAAGCCCCCAATACTATATAACTGTATTTATATTAAAGCTTTGCAGCATATCGGGCATACATGAAAAAATTGGCTTGCTAAGCACCTGACAACCTGTTACCAGTTGCATACAGCCAACATGTGAAAACATTATCATGATTATGTCAGTCATTTTCACGAAGAGTGTAAATTTGAAAAGATGAAAAGAGAAAAGATAATTGTGGGGTAATGATGATCTGTCCATTGATTTTGTAAAAGTATCAAATGAAGTTAATGAATTCACAAAAATGCAAGCTTAACCTTTCTTAGATTTTTTTAAAATGATCATTTTTCAAGGTATTTACATGAAAAATGTCCTTACCGTTACCACCATTAAAAGCAATTAAAACAGTAAGTTCTATTTCATTTTCACATCTATATTTGTGCTCCAAGATAAGAATGTCTTTATATTTTATCATAAATTGAAAAAAATAAATGATTGGTTAAAAATATTTTAAATTAAATATTTTTAGAATTTGCTTTGACGGAAAAACCGGAAAGCTGCCAGCTATTATGTTGTATAAAATATATTGTCCATGCTTCATTATCTTTGAGAGTCACAAGTCATATGCAGGTAAATAAATGAAAGTAATTTATAAAATATTTCACATGCGTTTGTAAAATAATAAAAAATTCTGAACAATAGTCATGGATATTGACGGTAACAGTAAGGATGACAATAGTAACAGTTTGGACATCAAAGTAAATCTTTTCATATTACATAATGCAAATGGATCAGAAGGACAAAATATTATTTTGTATTGCTGAGTTGAAATAGATAAACATTATGGACATTGTAGAAAGAAATATTTTCACAGAAGAATATTGAACAAAATAAATGTTTATTGGTTACAATTTCCCAAAGTAACAGTATGGACATAAGTGATACTCGTATTGACATCTATGACAGTTAATAGGATATGTGGTTCTGGAAATATCTCTTTACTTCTATCCCTTTACTAAAAACACCACTTATATATTCTTTTAATTATTATTAGATAATTTTGTTTCAGTGAACCCATCAATTTTACATTTTTGTCTAACACTATACCATTACAAAAAAACAAGTTTCAATGAAATTTGGATGAAAGTTTAAATTTTCCAGCAATGACTAAAGTTTCCAATATTTTTAGCAATGAAAAAACATCAATACAGAATGACAAGTATTATCAGAATTTTAAATATAAATATTTATGGATTTTGAATAATTTTGTCCATACTGTTACCAAACATTAAGTTTCAATGAAAATTTAGATAAAGTTGATATTTTCCAGCAATGATTACAGTTTCCAATACTTTTTAACAAACCAAAAGCTTGAATAAAGAATTCAAAATATTATCCGCATTTTAAATGTAAAGTTCTTTTGATTTTGAATAAATTTGTCCATACTGTTACCTTTTTAGTTCCATACTGTTAATGAAACTAATAACAGTGATGAACATCTTGTGTAATTTAATGACATACATAGAGAATACTACACGAGGTCTCATTACATACAAATTATACGAAACAAGTGTCCCTCCTATTTTATTTATTACCCACGTCTTACATGCATTAAATTGACAAAATAGCGTATTTTTGTTGTGTTTTTGGTTTCAAACCAAACCGGTTTCATAAAGAGGTTGCGACGGATAGAGTTTTGTACTGTGTAATTTAGCACTATAAATGGTTTTGGTGACCAAATTTAATACTTTTAAAGATAATTACGATTAATTTAAGGCAGGCAAACAAACAAACCTGGGCTGTTCTATTAAATGTCCGCCCCTCGTTAAGACTGAGCGTTACCAGAAAAAACAAATGATAACAGTTTGATACGGTTTACGTTGGATTAAATATCTTCTCTGAATTATTTTAATTACATCTGTCATTAACGTAAACCATATGGGGCAATATGAGCGTTGCATTTCTACTACCAGACGTTACGTGTCACTGAAAACTTGTTAGTCGAAATGACACATTTTAACCGTCGTAAAACATAAGCGTAATGTTTCCACCAGTGATGTTAGCTGCGTGGAAGCAACAGCAAACCAAGAAACTGGATGCAACGTGTAGTTTACTGTAGGAGGCCGTGACTGGCGATGACAACTGACATGCATCGTGGCGCCGCTTACATTGTGACGTAATGTAAAATGGTTCGATTGAGGGGCACACTAGAATGGCGCAGTGGCGGGATAATGTCATTCAATTATTCGTCATCAAAAACTATACCTTTATTGTCTGATAATGTATTTTTTTTTTCGATTGTTCTAACCGCTAGGCATCTTAGAAAGTGCAATATTTGCATGACGCCACTGCCTTTGGTAACCGGCGCCACGATGCATGTCAGTTGTCATCGCCCGCAGACAGCCTCCTACAGTAAACTATTCCAGAGCATCTTGTTTCTTGGTTTCCAGCTGCTTCATTCGCTAACATCACTGGTTCTTTTTCTAAGATGCCAAATTTAATACTTTCTAAAGATAATTACGATTAATTTAAGGCAGAAAACAAGCGGCCGGTGTCGGTGACCTAAATTAAGAATCCTCGCACAGGGCTAACTGGTAGCTGTTCTATTGATGTGTCTGCCCCCTCGTTAAGGCCGAGCGTTACCAGAAAAAACAAATGATAACAGTTTGATGGCGGTTTCGTTCGGATTAAATATCTTCTCTGAATTATTTTAATTACATCTGTCATTGCGTAAACCATATGGGGCAATATGAGCGTTGCATTTCTACTACCAGCGTAAGTTTAGATCAGTACATCAGAGGAAGTTGAGTAGTCAGCGACATTCCACAATTGCATTGTGGGAATGTAAACATTATTCTGAGAAGCGTTACCGTGTAATGGCTGAAAACTTGTGAGTCGAAATGACACATTTTAACCGTCGTAAAACATAAGCGTAATGTTTCCACCAGTGATGTTAGCTCGTGAAGCAACAGCAAACCAAGAAACTGGATGCAGCGGTGTAGTTTACTGTAGGAGGCGATGCGAGGCGATGACAACTGACATGCATCGTGGCGTAAACTACATTGTGGCGTAATGTAAAATGGTTCGATTACGAGGGGCACACTAGAATGAAGCAGTGGCGGGATAGCGTCATTCAATTTTTCGTCATCAAAAACTATACCTTTATTGTCTGATAATGTATTTTTTTGATTGTTCTAACCGCTAGGCATCTTAGAAATAGTTACGCCAGAATGTGACCTAAATGAGAGGTCATCGGTTATCCAATCAAATCGTTAGAATCTCAGGTCAAGTCGTTACGACACCGGTCAACGCGATACGACACTCGTGTGACGTACGAGATTAGTATGCAACTATCAAAACGTTGACCACGTGGGTAATAAAAAAGTTTATATAAAGGCACATACACAGCTTGAAATGTAAATAATAGCAATTATTGTCAGTTTTAATTGTTCTTTTTGGTAGACATTTGTCCATACTGTTACCAGGTGTAAAAAAATCAACAAT